TCGCATTTCCGGCAAGATATTGAGAGTGGTGGTTATATTTAAGAAGACATCGTTTTTCGAAGACATGCGAAAAAAAGTTTTACAATTACACAAATTACTACGACAAACGGCAAAAAAGAATAAATGTAAGGCGTGAGCATAATATGAAATTGCAAATGAGCATAGACATGTACCTTCAATTCATTTCCACAAGGACTCGTACTAGAGCGTTTACCTACTTTAGTAACCTAAACACGAACTGCATTTCTTTTCTTTTTCGATTTCATAAATATTTCCCTCTAGCCTCTCTTTTCTAAATGGACGCTTAGTATTTCTTTGACCTACAAAAATTACCCCAACGAGCGTTTCTGAAGGTTAATTTCACATAAAGAAAGGACATATTTCAATTGAAAACAACAGAACCCTCTCACCCGCAAAAGTTTCACTCTTCTTTTTTTCGTTAATAACTCGCCGCATTTTTGATAATAAACCCCTTCGCAAATGGAATTCTGAGCTTGAATTGTCCCTCGATGCAAGTTTGCGCTGGTTGGAAAGCAGAAATTCTCTTTCTACATATTTCTCTTTCTACATTTTGCACTGTTCGATCCAATATTCAAACGAGGAATCAGATGTGAAAAGAAAGTAGATGATGCCGTGTAGCCACACATCTTTTGCCAAAGATTTTCTGGAACTAAGAAGATTGAAATGTCCTCTTGCATTCTGACATTTTAATCTTACACCCAGACGAACGCCCTTCTACCAAAGCAAAACTGTCAATACATAACGCCCGGATGCATTGTGTGCTACGCACGTACGATAAGGATATGACATATGCTGGATATCTGCTCTGTGCGACGTGACCTCTACTATTGTTGCCTTCAATGAAGATTTTGACGCAAATCATTGTTTCTTTTCGTTGATTCCTCGTTGTACACCTTATGGAGCGACTGTTTGAGAAGTCGGCTTGACAACACAGATCACCTTAATCCAATTATTGCTCAACGGAATTAAAAATTATTTCGTCATCGTCTAATTGCCAGCGTAACACAAGACATCTTGGTAAAATTCGAAAATGTAACACATATATAATGACGATTTTTTCTTCAGTGGATTGGCACCAAGGGTAATAATTATTAATTGATTGTTGAAAGTCTTAAAAAGAGGCATCCGAAAGAAAAGGAAGATCCAGTTTAGTTTCCTATTTATTCAGCATAACTAGCTTGTTGTGAATAATATTAATATCTAAGTATTAGTTGAAAAGGTGAAATATTGTTCTAGTTTTGACATTTCATCACTTGACGATGAGCTCGAAAGGCCTCGATCCCGGTGTCCATCCCAAGCATGATTGTTTATTTGTAAGTAGTAGTCTTGTCCTTACTTTTTCGACCCGTTCCCATTTTGCAGTATCAACTAACAGTTAACCCTAAGCCCTCGATGAATTACCTCTCGGTTGTTAATGAGCGTTTATTCGTTATTGATCATGGAAAGGCTTAAATTATTTCAACTCTCGTTTAAGCATCATAGGAGCAGTTCATAAGGAAAAGAAATATTTCTCATAAAGTCTAGCACAATGAGCAGTTTTGAGTTTATGGATTTTACGCCTTTAATGCCTTTTACTTATCGAAAGCGTTTCAATAACAGATTCCATTAAACTTGATACTTGATAGTTGCATGGCCCGCCTCAATGCTTGTGCGGGCCACAGCGTAATCACCATTTTTCGGAGATTTGCTGGTTACACCATTGTAGTGTCCTGGAATCTCAAGTTCAGCCTGGCCGAAGTCGCTCCAGGTCTTCATCACCGCAGGCACTCGCATCCTTTGTGGATTAAAGGGTGATTTGCCACCGGGCGACTTTGATACCAGGGCGGTGGTGGATCCTGGTATTGTTTTACTCTTAGCTAGGCTTCCTGATGAAAACGCCGAACTCATTCTCAGCTTGGGAGACCCTGCCAGGGAATCAATCCACTCTGTACATCACAGTCCAATACCCAGAAACACCTCCCAGCCACGATGAAGCAGGAAACCTTTGGGTGTTGGCTGAGGGCTTTCCCAGTGAGCACGTCGCTGCGTGGCGACCGGGCCAGTGCGGCTAATTTTTGGGAGCCGCATTACTTCGATTCCAGTAAAAGTTTTCCCACATGAGGAACTAAAATGAGAAACTGGGAATTCAAATAAGAAACAGCGAGAAACTTGCTGTTTTAGTTTTCTTTTCTTTTTTCTAGTTATTCGTGGTCCAAATTATGGTTTACAGATAGGGAGAAGCATCATTATCGTCAAGACAGCCCGTCGGCCTTCTATTCCTATTATGGTGTGAATTAGCGTTCCATTTATAAAATTAAAAACACCGACTTTTCCTCATTCAGCGCTTATGAACGAATATGCAAAATGTCACGGTCTACTTTGTGTTTAGACGACTCGCACTGGATGAGCTAAGTAGTACGGTTGAGCTAAGTAGGGTTGAATAACACTCCATCTTCCACGAGTTCCTATTAGTCTTGATCTATTTCACTTTCTCTCTCACTTTCTTCCTTCCTCTCCCATTTCTGTCTATATGTTTTTACGAAATGTGTTTCAAAATTCGAGGCAACGTTTATCCATTTGACTGTTAATTGAACTAAACAAACTGCTTTCTTATCCGAAAAAATCGTCTATGTAAATAAAAGTGCTTTTTTACTCCGTATTATCAGTCTTCACGTATTGCGCTGATCCCACCAACTCTTTCATTTGGTTCATTTCCTCGCATCCATCATCCACGAAGGTAATCCGAATTTGCGTGTAAATTCGTCAGTTGCTCGAAGATTTTGCCTTCTCCAGTAATAACGAAGAATAATGATCGGACGAGTTCTTCCTGAAATTTTTATTTAGTTATGGTAAAGTAGAGAAGGGCTCGTGTGGCGCAGTGGTTGGAGGTGCCACTGCGACACAAACGTGAAATCGATCCCCACGGCCATGGTCCACCAAGCAAGCCTTCTATCCCTCCGGAGTTGGCACACTGGTACCAGACTTGTCTGGGAGGATAGCAGCACTGGCTCGATACATCGGCAGGCCACTGCGAGTTATTGTAAAGGCCAGATATCCATTTAGCCACCTCCAGCGATGCTTAATGAAGTCGAATGCATAGCGCATCCCTCAGGGATTGATCAACATCGAGAGCTTTACCTTTTAGTTTTATGGTAGAGAATTGCCAGTTGTTCCTCAGAAGGTGCAGTCAGCCAGCAACCTTTGTGGAGCGGACGAATGCCCAAACATGCCTGGTGCCAATGTGATGAAACCAGAGAGATGAGAGGTTTAGTTGGACAGTGTCGTAGCAACGACCAACTATATATTTCAGAGCACTTCTAAACAGCGACCTTACCCGCGTTCTCATAACAATCAACACGCTGGAATAGTCTTAATTACTATGCATATATCGTTTCATTCTACGTCCCATTAGTTTTCCCTGATGTACAGCCGTCATTTTCAGTGTTTCATAAAGATGACAGACTTCAAGAGATTTTTGAAGCCAAAAATAATATGTTCCTTTGCAAGTGTTCTCGTCCTCATTGCTATCGGAACATTGATAGTAATATTTTACACCAGGTATTTACCGATGCTATAATATTTACAGCAGTTTTTAAGTGAATGGCACATAAACTCGCTTAGAGGAGCGCTAAGGGAAGACTTGAGGGAAAATTATCGGAAGTAAACGAAGCGACAAATAAATCTACAGAAGGCAGTCTTTCGTAGTTATCCGAGGATTAAGAATTGCCGCAATGATCTCTTTGCGCCTCAAGAGAAATTAATGGCAATGTAATTAGTTTTTCTTTACTGCCTATTCTTTTTCACGGCAAAGTATCATATGAATTATAACCAAAATAATGCTGAGATATTCGCAAAACTCCGGACCGCAGGTGTCTGTGGTGAGGATCGAATACGCTATTATCCTTTCAGGGGCTAACGCGTACACCACCGCACCGTGCGAGTAATTAGATTCGCCTGCCTCTGAGCTAGTTCTAGTTCTATCGATCAGTTCCGTCAGCAGTCACTCGCCAAGAGCATTGATCTGTGGAGCACAAATAGACATTGGGCCCAGTTAAGCTGAAGCTTTAAAATAATTCACTGTGTGACCACTTTTTATTTATTGTCTATTTTTTTCATTTCATAGGAAGGTTTGATATGAATTATATTCACAATGATGCTGAGATATTTACAAAATACGGACCCCCTGAAAGGGCGGTAGCGTGTTCGATCACCACCGCAGACACCAGCTGTCCGCGGTTTTGTAAATATTTCAGTGTCATTGTAGTTGAAATAATGATAATAAACAAGTGTTAGAAAAATAGTGAAAGGAAAAAACAATGGGTTTGGTGCCCTCTTAGTTGGTATGTCGTAGCTAAATAATCGTTATCAAAACCGTTGTAGAAAAAATGATCATGGAAGCTCATTATTGTGTAAAAATAGTGATACACATTTAACAGAAGTTCAAAAATTATTGATGACTTGGTAAAGCCACTGTAGCGATTATTAGGGAAAGTGGGAAGGACACATATATGACACTCTGAAAGAGGTCGTGATCTGGTTGAGCACAGTGGCATAGTGTGTAAATGAAGTTATGGTCTGCTAAGTGTAAAATCTCAGAATCGTCAATGAGATGAAGCCAAATGCCAATCTAGCGGTGATGCTTCAGTAGAAACTTATTCAAAGCTTTGCATCATAACGAAATCAGCTTTTGGTCAGAGGAAGACTTCAATTAACATAGGTCGAACCCCTTTTATAATGAATATACTTAACAGTTAATAACTACTTTTTACGAAGTGTGCATATCTCGGCACAATTTCTATTTATGTGACACCTCGTTTACCAAACAAGTTGCCTTTCTGTAGGGGGCCGAGATAAGTGTAACTGCCGTTTTCTCATCATTATCGTACCAGCAACTTAGTGCCCCTCCCTTGTAGAACAATGAGTGCTTGACACGCTTACAGGTGGATTTCTAGCACGACGGTTGCAATGCTTAGCTTATTCAGTTTGTGTGAACTCTTAGCATGAATTACGACGTCAAACTTTTCAATCTGGCAGACAAGACAAAGCTTTACCGTTGTTCGACACCTACGAGTACTCCGTCGCCAACGCGAAGCGATAAGCTATTGACGGTTTTGGTGCGAGATAGGCATAAAATACAATAAGGCATAAAATACAACACCATTGTCAGTGCTAGCGAGGCGCAACTTCAATAGGAAAAACTGTGAAATTCAGAAAAGTTTTAATCGAAGAAATACTTCGATTACTTTATGTTAATATTCATTCAGAAAGTATTCAGGAAGCAAAGTGTGGCCGACAGTATTCTTGCTCACGAAGTGAACGTGACATCTCCTTCACGTGATGTCGAACAGAGAACAAATGCACTGGTATGGTAATTCCATTTTTCTTCCATTCTCACTGCAATTCTTGATATATCTTAACTGTATCTTAACTTAACTTTTTCTATCCTATTTTTCTATCCATTTTTACACCTGAAAACGTTTTATCTTCTTTAATCGTTTCTCAGACATCAGAAATGGCTGAACAGCCTGTACAAATTTCCGTTTCCACTACAACACTTCGGAAACACTCGTTCACCATACCAGCTGTCGGTCAGTCTTTTGAGAGCTAAGTATCATATCTTTATCTTTTCATTTTTATAAAGGAGAATATAAAACACAACAAGTTAAACCACTCACGACGAGGACTTCAGGTCCTTAAAATGAAACCAAGAAACTTTCCGTATCTTTACCCACAAGTGAAACCTTTTTGCCCTACCAAGATGAGCTTCCATGGTTTCATTTTTTGATCAAGCAAGATTTTCTCAAGTAAAGCGAATTGATGTATACAAGTGTCATTTTGATATTTACGGCTAAGGACTTTGTGGTGAATACTTCAACTTTTAAATTCGATCTTCAACTTTCCAAAAAATTCCATTTAGAACACGGTTAGAATTTAAGTGAAAAATTGAAATTATAGCCATTAAGTAAAAGGCCTAAATCTTTTACATCGTTCCTTCGGCTTCTCAACTCCTCAAAACTTCGAGCTGATGAAAAATTATCGGCAGTTATCATGAAATCATTTCTGTTGCGAATTTGTTTCAAACCACGTAGGCGCCAGTCAATAGGGCTCTTCTTCTCTTACGGTAGATGTCTTTTCAAGCAAAATTCACTTCGTATGAATCATATTTAAAGTAAATTTCTTAGAGAGAAATCGAAACAGTGATAATTCACATGACATGCCAGGTATGTTAACAGTATCAAAGTTTGAAGTTTCCTTTCGTGACCGATAAGGATCGAAGTCCACCTGATCCCAAATATTGGTCGCACTGTCGTCGTCTAACTTCACCTTAAATAAATAACTAAAACTGTTATAATTCCGATTGTTGCAGGATGGCTTGTCGACAAAAACAGACATCATGGGGGAGGGGGGGGGGGGGGGGGGGGGTGTTTTAACAAAAAAAAACATCGACTACCTGCACTTCCGAGTGAGGTTACTTCATATGTGCGATTTTCCACTCCGGTATAGTCGACCCAGTACCACCAAGAAGACTCAAGGGATCACAAGCAAAAACTGTCGTCTACATCCTACTCAAATCAGTGGCGCAGTGAATAAGGCGACCATTGCAAAATCTTAGCCGAATAGAAGATTTATAACAATTTTGCGCACGTCTGACAACACAGCAAGATTGTGACTATTTAAGGAAGATTTAATCAAAAGTCGTCTTCAAGCATTAAAGCTGTTTTCGTGGGTGGCGCAGTGGTTGGAGGTGCCACTGCGATACAAATGTGAAAACCATTCCCGCTCCTATGGCCCACTATGCCTTCCATCGCTCCGGGGGCGACAAAAAGGTACTAGACTTGTTTGGAACCCTCAACGATTGATCAACAACGAGAGCGTTATCCTTTATTTTTTATCCTTGACCAGCTGTTTTCATCAAAGAAGGCTTTCGATTTCATTGTCGTTATAATTTACTTCTTTCAGATCCAACTTCTCCATCAAAAAGTGGAGGTTCCCCTTCAACAGCTCTTGCAATCGAACCCATAAAACGTGAATAAATGTCGCACTACGTGTTGTACTTACCTTTTCTGTTTTGATGTTGTACAAAAGTTCTATTGTAAACCTTCTTAATAAACATTTTTTTGTAGCCGAGTATACAACGCGCACAAAGCGAAGCTGGGGAGGTGTAATTTTTCCTCTTTGACACAACCCTCCTCAATTTCCTCTCAACAGGTTTTCTTAAATTCAACCATTTACATATGAAAAACGATGCCTACTGTCTTTCAAATGCTACGAAGTATCAGATAGAGCGCATGAGACCTGAGAAAGTGCAAATGACTTGATGGGAAAACTGAAAATTTCGCGAAAACGATAGTTTAAAGCATACTTCATTCATCTATCTCTTGGGTATGTTCCACCTTCTCAACTCCATTTTTATCATTCTGAAGATGATTAAATACATATTTAGCCTATAGAGCGGCTTCCTATGGCCTACCGAGGTAGCAATTCAGTGTTTTATTCTTCCTGACATATTCGACACCAATTTGCTGATTCAAGAGATTTGGAGAAATCAGTTCATCTAGGGTGTAGAATCGAAGTTACTGCATTGTTTGTATTGCTCAGTTCTTATTAATCACTTTACACGTTCTATTTCTCGTGTGAGTCTTTTTATTTGCTGTTTTTGAAGATATAGCCCAACAGCCTGTCCAATTCGTCGTTAAACTTGAATGTAATCTCCCTTCCTGTTGGAGCAGAACTAAGACCTACTTGCTGCTTGCAACTTAAGCCGGTCTGTCATGTGCTTCCCGGTTATTGTTGACAGCTGGCCGAAGACACACGACGATATAGTCCATGCCAAGAGAGATAACGACCGCTGGTATGGAAACAAGCACACTTAACTCACGCATGCACGTGCAAGCGGATATTATGATTCAGCAACTATATGGTTAACGGAAGACAAGGAGTCTTCCAATAAACTGCTTTGGAAAGCGAGCAGTATGGTCATTATCGCTTTTGGTTCCCATTCACGATCGCTGTCACATTTGGCTCACAATGAACTTTTAGTGGTCAGATAACGATGAGCCACCTTGCCTCGCGCCAACATAAACTGATAAACTGCAATCTTAGAAACCTTCAAGAACTTTTATTATAAAGTTTTTGGTTAGCCTACAGTTTGAAAATCTAGGGATTGATTCTAGCTCTGCATAAAGCTAAATTACACTTGCAGTGAACTCGTTACCTCTTTTTTGGAGGAATCAGGCAAAGTTTCCTTGATTTTCTCTCTATCCACTTTGATTTTTTCATGTCCATATATAATCTTCTATTCTCATCAATTAAACAGCTTATTACCTTTTACTTTTTTGCCTTGTATCCATGGACATCGAAGATCGATTAGATGCTCTTTGAGGTGAACCGGTTTAGTGGCTCATGAAATAGTTCGTCTTCAGAATAGCGTGTCTGTGTTACAGAAAAGTTGTAAAAGACGTTGCATCAAAAATGTAAGAATTTAATCCGAAAAATCAAGGATAGGTTAACGAGAGCGGCCAGCATTACTCGATTGATTCTAAGGAATTCTTTTCTCAATTTCTCACCTACAGGTGACAGGTTGTCCACATTCACTGATGTTCACGCGAACACAGAGGATGACGTAGCCCAGACTTCTCTGAACAATAAAGAAGTTATTGAAGGAACATCGATTTCTACTGGAGAGCTGGCAGTGTTCCTTGTCTGAGATCATTCTCTCAAGCTGTTATCCATATTGACTAAACATCTTAGGCATGCGCAAGATGTGGTCTACTCAGATTGTGTTCCATTAAAAGGTTAAAAGGTTAAAAGCTACCTGTGTGGTAAAGATCTACAATATTTGTAGAGCGATCATCTCAGCACTTGCAAGGGAATCGAGTCGAGCATCATTCAACCACTCATTCACTATTTATTTTTGACTGAAATAAATTTCAGGATTTTGGCTAGGTTCCATAAAGACAAATTTAACTACTTTTAAAACTATATTTAATGCATAAAGGCAAACTAAACTGGTTACATGAAGAAGTGTTTAAATCAAATCAAATGAAAGGTGTTACTCATGCAAAACTAAAAGGCTTAATTATTTAAGAGAAAAGGCCGAAGTAATGCAAGAATTAACACAACTCGGCTCAATTTTTCTCACAAATGTCTTCCCCAGATTGAAGAGAAGAAACATAGCAACATTATGCACTTGATACGTCATTATGGTTGTATTTCGCATAATATCCTGCTGTAAAAAAAATTCTAATAAGCAGTAAATAGAAAGTTAACATTCTGATTTCGACTACATCATCAGCTTAACTGAAAAAGCTAACTGAGACACAGATAAAGCGAAGGACCAGTATGGTGTGGTGGTGAATGCGTTACTCCCCGGAAAGGACAATAACGCGTTCGTTCCCCACCGCAGACACATGCGGTCCGGAGTTTAGCAAATATCTCAGCGTTTTCATGGTTGTATTTCATGTAATATCCTGCTGCAAAAATAATTGTAATAGGCAGTAGTCAAAGGTTAGTATTCTGTAGTTGCTTCCAATATTTGTAAAAATTTCTTGCAAAACCTTATTTCATCTCCATATTGACGTGGTTAACCAATTTTTGGAAGACAATAGGATAATGAAAGTGTTTGGATAGATTCTTCCCGAAACGTAGCTTTTTCTCGTTTTCGTGCTTCCTGCAACTCTATTTGAGATAACAAAGATGAACAGCTTGAAAAACTGCGAACAACAAACAGTTCAATGTCCCCCAATAATTACCAAAGGTCTAGTATAGTAAACTGATTTTACTGGAGCTTCGTTGTCTGAATTTGATACATCATTCACGAAAAGTAAAAATGTGAATGACTGATTACCTGTTATGAAAGTTTTTCCTTGTTTGTTCATTGATCTAAATTCTGCACTGGTTCATGCAGTTTTATAATGATTATAAAGAATAAGGGATAAAACTCTTGGCGTTGATAAATCCCTGAGGGACGTACCATACATTCGACTTTATTAAGTATAATTAGAGGTGACTGAATGCATATTTGACCTTCACAATGACTCACGGTTGCCTACCGATGTATCGAACCAGTGTTGCTATCCTACCAGGCAAGTCTTGTACCACTTTGCCGACCCCGGAGGGATGGAAGACCTGGTGGGCCGTAGGCGCGGATATCGTTTCCACGTGTGTGTTGCAGGGCGCCATCGACCATTGCGCCACACGCGCCCCTTCATGATTTTTATACAGAAACATAATGATGCTGAGATATTTGAAAAACTTCAGACCGAAGGTGTCTGCGGTGGGGAACGAACGCAGTGATTTCCTTGCCGGGAAGTAACGCGCTCACCACCACACCATGCAGTTCCTTCGTTTCGCCTGTCTCTCAGGTAGTCCTATCGATCTCTGCCAACAGCAGTCACCCGTCAGCGGGATTGATCTGGGAGTTTTGCAAATATCTCAGCATCGTTGAAGTTATATTTCGCAATATATCCTGCCATTAAAAAGAGTAGGCAGTAAATAATAAGTTGAAATACAGAACACAATTGAGAAAATCATTCATGATTATCAGCGCTGGTACCAATGACAGAGAATTCACTAGATGTATTTACGAAATAGTTGCTGAATCTTCCTAATGGTTTACCGCCTCATCTTGACTAGGAGCTGTTCCTGGGTGTCGGGCTGAGATGTACAGAAGGAGGATTAATCCTCTCGGCAGGATCTTCCCAAGCTGAGAAGGAGTCCGGTGTTACCTTCAGGGAGCCTAGCTAGGACTAAACCAATGCAGAGATCCATGACCGTTCTGGTTTCAAAGTCGTATGGTGGCAAATCTCGCACTGATCCACAAGGGCCGCGACTGCCTGTGGTGGTGAAAAACTGAGGCAGACGGCCAGGCTGACCTCGTGATTCCAGTGAACCACAATGGCTTAGCCAGCAAATCTCCGAAAAATGGAGATTATACTGTGGCTCGCACTACTAGTGAGGACGGCGCAATCAAGGTTCAAGTATCAAGTAAGTTACTGAATACGGTGAATACTGAAATCCAAAAAATACGGTGGAATTGAAATTTATAAACTGATGAAACCATTCATCGATCAGAGCAGTGAGCATTAAGAGCAAAAATCTTTCGAAAAGTGTGGTTTTTCTCATATTTATAATTGATCGGTAGGTTCTAGAATGTTGTTGCTTTCACAGAAACTCCTCTAGATACTATGTTCTTTCGATATGCCACAAAGTGCTTCACAAAAATAGTGGTATTCCAGTAAGAAGAAGCTTCTCCATGGTTAAGCAAAGTTGACAACACCACTACTAGAGGATTTCCAGCTCTCGCTCTCCTTACTTTAGTTGAGTGTCCTGTTGTTGCGAAGAATGAGGTGTTCCTATGCGCAGTATCCATTTGACTAAAAAAGATGAAATTAAAAATTTGGAATCTGTGTGGTACCAGCACGTTGTTTTTTTGTTTTCATCCTCCGCAAAAGTTTCTCTCTCTCTCTTTTGCTTTCTTTCTTTCTTTCTTCCTCTCTCTCTCCCTAACAGGTTTCTGAACAAATGACGAAAAGGACAAAGCGTCTTAGGCGTGGAACGTGTAAAACGCTGTTAATATCAACAAAATATGGAAGAAACAAAAACCACTAAAGCCGTTTGAAGAAGGAATGTTGACCTACTTAAACAACCCAAAAAAATATCGCTTTACATGAAACACTTCCCTCTTTGTTGCGAAAAATTCTTACTTATGTGTGAACAAACAAAGGGATTTTAACCTTAAAACCCCTAATGAAATAAAGCTGATTGTTTCGTAAAAGTTTACGAGAACTGCCACTGTTCTTCAGGGATTCAAACGATTTAAAACGTGATATGAGCTTTCCTGACAGCCGCTAAGAATTTTCAAAACACGTTCTAGAAAATGCTATTCCAGTTAACAAAATTTGTTCCTAACATCGAAACGGTCCAAAGCTCATGAAAAAAGAACTGTTGGAGCTGAGCTTTATACGATAAACAGCTACTTTTTGTGCCATGTTTCTTCTAACATTTTTTAAAGCAATTCTTTTAGTATTTATTTTTGTATGTCTTGATAGAGTTAACGATTGAAAAGACATGGGTGGTAGCGATAAGACTATCGATCAATTTGTTGGATTGTTAAGAACGACACTATAGGACGGACAGTGTTACGGTAACAACTTGTTGTCACTGAACAATACGTCATTTTTAGTGAGTACATGAAAGATCTCCTACAATATTTTTCTTCCTTAAAGCCTTAGCATATTCATTCTTCAGCATGCTATTCAAAAGCAACTCATTACTCACTAAACCTCTAATAACCTCTCGATTGCTGAGATAGGAAACGACTAATTTATAATCCAATGCCGATGTTAATAGAAAGTCGTTCCTCGGAACTCATTACTCGCTTCTACAGTTTCAATGGTTTTTACTAAATAAACATATGGGATAAAAACCTAGGGGTGGGCAGCGCAATGATTTTGGTGTCGTTGGTCACGAATGCGGTTCTGGTTTGACCACGCCCGGGGTCACCAAGCCCTTCGTCACTCCGCGGTTGAGAAATTGCTACGAACTTTGCCTACGATCAGCTTGCTCTCTGCAGTCCACGTGGGGAAGTTTCGGCACAGCTGCGCTAAGGTTGCAAAGAGAATTGACTGGACGAGCATTCAATGATATTCATGAACACAACGAAAATTCTCAAACAACGGCTGAACTCACGGTCAACGTGTTCGAAAACCTTCGTGAATGATTGTATACGAGGAAACGAATCGAATTCAAGAAGTGATGGGATCTGCGCAGTAGATGCGATAACAGACTATGTAAAGTAAATAAAATAACTACCACAATAATAACAACCTATCCCTCACTACGAGTACGTGCTATCTTTCCAGCTGCTCTTTAAGTTTTTAAGTAAGACTTTCGTCTTTTTCTTGTCGCCATAGAAGTCAGTTATCACACAATTCACCAAAAGACCACAAATCCGCCAATGAGTGATAGTGAGAAAAAGAAGGACAACACATAAAAACATTGTGATAAATAAGAAGATTACTGTTACTGGATGATCAAAACAAAAAATTATTTGTCATTCAAAAATAGCAAATAAGAAATTAAAAAGTGGAGGTGTAGCAGAAAAAAGTGCTAGAAACAGTGTGAAGACTTTCAGTTGGTCGAGAACACTGCACCAAATATAGGAAATAGAAGTATAGTATAGAAAAGCTTGGAAATTACGAAAAAGTGCAAAGAACTCGAAGATATTACAAAAGATATCTACTCGTATACAGAAATACACAGAAGAACCCATACATCCACATGATACCATCCGCAAACTCACTCTGATTAGATATATCTGCAGTGTACCTATGTATTTCCTTATCTATTTATCTACCAACCAATCTATGTATTAACTTTCTCATATCTGTCTATTTACTATCATTTCAAATATTTTTCGTTTTTTAAAGATTCTTAAAATTACCCATGACCACACTAATTTCTTAGTTGTTCCCATCGGCTATGGGATAGCTGAAAATTACTTTAAAGTCTTTCTCAGAACACGTTAGATGTGTCTCTTGCAGATACCATCAGCCATTACAATAGAGAATGAGCATGTTACTCATTCGTAAAGCCATTTCTTCTTCTTTCTTTTTCATGTTCTTGACTTTTCTTAGTAGATTTATGTCTTTGTAGGCTTTTTGTTTCTCATTCTACTCAAATATCTGCAGAACCTAGCCTCTTAACATCAGTGTTATGCTTTACTCTCTTGGTTACCTCCACGCAGCAATTCCTCGGCTAGTGTGTTATTCTGTCACCGTTTCCTTACTTTTATTTCCATATATTTATTCACTAACCCATGTTTGAGAAACGCCAGGTGGCAGGTGTTAGGCGTGACACTACCACATACATCATCGCTTACAGCCAAGACACGATGTATATTAACAATTCTTTATAAAAATGACCTTCCAACGGTTTACCTCCTCATCGGGGCTGAAAGGTGTTCCTAGGTGTCAAACTGCGATGTACAGCTGGAGGATTCGTCTTTCCGGCAAGGTCTGTCCAAGCTGAGAAGGAGTCCGGCATTTCCATCAAGAAGCCTAGCTATGAGTAAACCAATACCAGGATCCGCCACCGTCCTGGTATCGAAGTCATATGGTGGCAAATCTCCCTCTGATCCACAAGGGCTGCGACTGCCTGACGTGGTAACGACCTGAGGCAGACTTTAGCCAGGCTTCCCTCGGGATTCCAGGAAACCACAATGGCATGACCAATAAATCTCCGAAAAATGGTGGTTATGCTGGGGCTCGCACAACTAGCGAGGACGGGCTGTTCAAGTATGAACTAAGTAAGTATATAACTGACGCTGTGGCAAAGATCGAAAAAAATAGCTGAGAGACAGGCGAAACAAAGGACCCGCATGGTGTGGTGGTAAACGCGTTACTCCCCGGAAAGGACAATAGCGCGTTCGTTCCCCACCATAGACACCTGCGGTCTAGAGTTTTGCAAATATCTCAACAACGTTGTGGTTATATAAATAACGCACTGCACACAAGTTCTTCAGATTCAAGCGCTTTCTTCACTGGATCCGTCCTCTTACATTCATCTTCCATAAAACTGCCACTTGAGGATTCTTTTGGCATCATGAAAGTCTATGAGTGCTGTGGAGTTGAATTGCCTTCAAAGGCTTGAGCAGCTCTGTCAGAGTATCGTAGGTTGCTCGTCATAGGGAACTGGAATTCATGGATAGGGCAGAAGGGTAAACTTTTTAAAGCATGTATTCTATAAGGTAATGAATCCCGGAGCCTTTTATTGGTGTGAAAGTTGGGATCGAACCAGCGACCATAAGTGGGCGCATGCGCTAATATACATATATATATATATATATTTATATATATATATATGCAAAAAAGCAATTAAATATAGCTGTTTTGTGATTGTGAAAGTTTTTGTGATTAAAAATGGTAGTCTTCGAAGTTCAACTTTTCGTTTAGAGTTTCTATCATGTTTTTCTCACGAAGACTGTAAATACAGACAGAAAAGTCACTGCATTGTGAAATCTAGTGTTGTTTATCATTTCTGCAAGCAGATAAAATAGCTATAGTTTCTTTTTCTTAGTGAATTTCTATTATTATGAAAGATGGCACGTTGTGTAGTTTATTTCTGGAAGCTTATGAAGAACTACTCTGGACCACCAATGTCGTGAATCTAGCTCACTTGGCTTGAGTTATCGAACAAGTCTACCGCTAGTTTAAGTCATCACAGTGTATCACGACGAACAGCCCGAAATGATGATAAGATACTTGGCTTGTTAGGGTCAGCACCGGCATCATGCGTTTTTCGAATCTTTTGCTTTAAACATTTCGCTATACTCTGACATGTTTTCTTCTGGTCGTCAAAATATTCTACAAAAAACGTTGTACTAAGTAAACTTTAATGAAAAATGTAGACGACGTGTGATGAGAATTATATACCATTCTTTTTTTAGTGACCACTAGGTTTGTGGAATTAAAGTGAAGCATCTACTCTTTTTTGGTTAACCACGTGTGAATCCTAGCTGTATTGTGGAAGAAGATGAAGAAAGTTCAAACGAATATTTCTTGGGAGAAAGGAGGAAAGCCGATATCCACACTTATACCAATTCATCCTTAGTAATGTTCTTCTTCTCAAATTACATTTAGACTTTCACAATATTTAGCCGATGTTGGTCGACAGTAGGATTATATCAGACGTTCATCTACAGTAAGAATATATTTGGTAGTCCATTGTAAACGCATTGTTTATAACTGATAGCAGCTGCACTGAATTGGTGCTGCCAGTGACAAGAGTCAGCTCGACTCCACACTCACCAGTTGTTCTGATGTTGGCCGTCGAACTCAACATAGAATATTGTTCAGTTCAGTGAGAACCTAACTATCATCATCACACGAAAGATGAATCTTTAGAAAATTTCTATTATTTTTTGCTTTAAAATTAGAGTTTTAAAGAAACAGCATGAAAGCCTCTCACTGATCAGGCGGGTCAGTGATCAATATGAGAAAAGAAATGCGCAAAGAAAAAGAAAAAAATAGGAGAAGTCCATATCAAAGCGATGAGAAACTGTTCTTCACTCATCATGAAGCACAAGGCATGGAGATTTCTCCGCATCGTCACTATATAAATCATTGAACATTAGAACGAATTCATTCACAAAACCACGCCAATCAACTACTAATAGCCGAATAAAATTGAAAACTGACTGATAGGTTATCATACCTATAAGCCTTATACCTCTGCCTGGTCTGATAGCTTCAGACTGATAAATTTATCTACAACAATCAAGGTCTCGTTTACACCTCTGATTGTGTGCGTATTTGTGTGTCTGTGTAAGCCTATCAAAACAATTATATGATGAGCTCACAGTAAATGTCAGCGAATTCAACACGATGAATTTCATTATTCGGCACTTTTGTTTGATACCGTATGCTCGGGTCTAACCGGAGGAATTGTCAACCGTGACCACGCCCCCTTTCATACATGCTCCGGTACATAAACAATAAGGAAGGTAGTCTGCACCATTTCGGCGTTAAAATTATTTATCCCTAGATGTACCATACCATGTAGTTGGCTGTAAAACCTCTATACGTGCATGATTATGTTTATATGTGTGTTTGTATATATACATATGTATATATATAAAAGTATATATACATAGATATTAACAAGTGTTCATGTGCGTTTGTGTATAAGAGTGATGTGCGCTTTTCAAGCTTTAACTTGGTAAACAATGCAAATCTGATACGGATTGGCTATCAGTCAACGGCATTTTTATCATTTCAGCTTGTCTTTGATATTATCTAATACTCTGTTTTTTCTGTCACACATTCTTCTGTTTCTCCGGATTTATTCTGCCAACCATTAAGACGAATATTTCGTCCTAAATGGAGTGAATGTTCAGGATGGAGAACGTGCACGATGCTCAGGCGTTAGCCTATCAAGCAGCGTGGACAACAGCAGACGCACCACGGATGACACTACAACTTCCAACACAACCGGCTGAAAAAGAAGAGAAAGACGTTCAACCACTTGCGCGCAGTGCGTTTACTATCTATTTCGAAAATCAACTGTCGTAAAATATAAGCTGGAAATAACATGTCGCATTTATCAACCTTTCATTTTAACTAACTCAGCTCGAATTTCTTTCTCCAATCAATATCATTATTACTGATAAGAAGCATCGTTCGACACCATGTCACCACACAGCCATTAAAGCCGTACGACTCGCTTGAGCAATTCAAATTGCTTGAATGAAGGATGTGAACAGGAAAAATCGCTAAAAGAGAAAAGTACATGGAGAAGGATTTCATTAAAAATCTCAATATTGGAAATGCTAGAACTTTTTATAACAACAATATGCTGTGATTTTTATACCACAGTTCAAAGCAACGCTGCTTTATTCTCGTTTCAAAGACTTTGGAGGCCAATATGTTTATAGCTATTACTCCAGGCAACTCAGTTTCGCCATATTAAGCAGATTTTGATGAATAGGTGAAGAAAAAACAAGCTCTTCCATATGAGAAGAATAGAAGGTAAACGCGCTACTTTGATCACCCATGTGAGTTTTCAGCACTTCAGACTGTCTTCCCGTGCCCTTTTTTCTCATAGAAAGATGGCAAGAAAGAGAACGCTAACGAAGTAAAAATGGCGTGATTTACGCAGTCGGATTTCATTGAGGCATTGTAGATTAAAGTCGACCAAAAATACTATGACATTTAAGACGGATATGCGAAAAAATAGGACTTTTGCCATTTACATTCAAAAATTTCGAGAAAGATAAAAGGGTGCGTGCGCCGCAGTGGATCGAGGTACTTGTAGCTAACACTGGATCGACCGCTGGTTCTACCTCCAGCACCGGGCGAAATAAACTCCTCGTCTCTTTGAGGTTAGAAATTCAATATGAGACTTATCGCAAAGGGTAAAAACACTGACGTGGTATATCCATAGCCGCAGTAGGGTGCTGTATAGGCCAGATATGTATTCAATCACCTCTACGAAAGTACGTATGGATAGTATGAATCACGCATCGTTCAGGAGCTGGTCAGCGCCAAACGCTGTTCCAATATCTTGCGTTCTATGAAAAATTCAACTTCTATAAGTTTTTCGTTCTAATAGATTATAACACTTTGACTTACGTACCTTTAAATACGTTGTTATCACACTCATTTTATCACACTCAGTGTCGATAGAGGACCTATATTCAGTGAAAGTGGAGTCCGAGCTGCCACATGCTTTTCGACAATCGGTAGTTATCGAAGCACCACAGCCAACGGTTGACGTTCGCACCAACTATTCCCTGATATCCGGTGAAAACCTTTTTACTTAAACAACAAAATGCACAAATATGGCTAGTAGGAAAAAATACTAGTGATAGATGAGGTATTTGCAAAACACCGGACTGTAAGCGTCTGCGGTCGGGATCGAACACGCTATTGCCCCCAAAAAAAAGGCTAAACAAAAAACCCTCATGGTGTGGTGGGTGAACGTGTAGGCACCCAGAAAGGGTAATAGAGCGTTCGATCTCCACCGCAGACACCTGCGTTCTGTAGTTTTACCAATATCCCAGCATCATTGTAGTTATATTGTAGTTAGTTATACTTCACAGCACAAGCTGTCATGAAAAAGAACAAGCAACAAATAAAAAAGTGATTGTATTGGGACATAAACAACGGCTTCAGCTTAACTGAGTTCAATGCCGATTTATGTTCTCCAGATCAATCCCGTTGATGGTTGTTGGCTGATAGCACCTATAAAACACGACTGAGAGGAAGGGAAAACGAGGAACCCGCTTGGTTCAGTGGTGAATGCATTAACCCCCAGAAGGCATATTCTATCCCCACCACGGACTCTATGTTATGCAAGCATCTCAACATTATTGCAGTTGTATTTCACAGAATACCCTGCAATGAAGAAAAGAAGACAATAAATATAAAAGTTCATTAATGATAGGTTTGTAAGTTGCCTTGTAAACTAATGATCAGCTGCTTTTGTTTTCGACGTGCTGAGAACTAAACTACTTTAGTGATCATTTGAGTTTGACCATGAATGAAAAAGTATATGACCCATCCACTACATTGCTATTGATCAATACCAGTAATTGTGCATAAAGTTCATCTTCTTATCTTTTTTTTTCCTGATATACACTGCAGTGATATTGTAAGGTCACTTTGAAAGATTTCCTAGTTTTCTACCTACTTTCATGCAAATTAAAATCACCAGACAAAAAGTGAATTCTGCAGCATTTGTGGTTACTTTAACAGTGCATATTCACAGGTTATGCTCCACCTCCACTGGAAACTCTTACACCATATACGGTAGACAGTATTGCCGGAATGGGAATACCGTCCTATACTAATAACTACAATATCTACAGCTATCCACAGCCAAACTTAAACTTCACACCATCTCAATCATCGTCGACCAATGGGTTTGTGTACTATGGTCGAACCGACAAGCCAAAATGTTGGAGCCATAATCTATCGCATTTCGACTTCAGTAATTTTATTTTTAGCAATCTTATTTTTCATCCTTATCCGGCAACCACTACACAGTACATCGACACAACGAACACCTTTGATCTCAATCAGGTAAAACAGTTTCGAGAAAACCTGATAGAGTAGTGGGAAGAGTCTGATAAATCAACTGGAACATGAGAGTTTTATTTCTATTTCGTCGCGCTTTTGACATTGATACAGATAGTAAAAAAATAAATGAAGACACATCAAACAACTGCACTTTTTCTCTGGTTGGGTTGATTTCTTATAAACCATTCTTCTTTCTATTCTCTCAAATGATTTAGCACTACTTCGCACCTGTACCATCACTTGAGTGTCTAAAATGTGGAGAATCATGCGGTGATAATCATCCGATAACTGGCGGATATGTTTGCGCTAACTGCTTTATTGGGATGGACAAACCCACATATCCTGTACGATTTATTTTCTTTCACTAAATGTGACATATCTTGAATTTACAGTACCCAACCATAACTTGCTTAGTTGAATTACTTGAATGGCCGTCTTCACGCAGAATAGTGCAGGTCCCCAGCACATTTTCGATTTAATTGGTATGTTACTGGTTTGGCAAAATTTTTTATATTAAGCCTCTTCAAACGTTTCGCCGCTTTAGGTTAGGCTTCAGCCTTAGACGGAGTTGTTTTCCTGGCAATGATGTGAGCTGCATTTCTAAAAGAAAGCGCGACAACCCCTTTGAGACTGGATAACCTTACTATGAAGACGAACACCTTTTGTATATCGAGGTTCGAAAGCCGAAAGCAAATCTTGGGTGGAAAAGAACTGTGGTCAGACAATAGTTGAAGTAACTGATGACTATATCCCAATTTTGTAACTACAACCTTTTGTGCCAATCCTAAATAATGGGACTGTTTGCTGTGTGACCGAGTCGGTCCCTGTTAATAAATTCTTAGATGAGTACGGAGTGAGCTTAGTTAATTTGCCAAAAAACTAAGGAAAATACAATGCTTTTGGAATTTTGCGAAATATTAGTCGCAAAAAAATTCTGTGTCATTTATATGCAAGTGCAAACTCATGAATACAATAGAATACAAAAAAGTACATATTGTTGAAGCAATCCACTTGACTTTCATTTACGATTACGTTATGTAATAAGGTGACTGTGCTCCTTTAGACCATGAAGGGGGCGGGCGGTGTAGCACTATGGAACACTGCAAAATTGTTCACGCAGGGCGTGCCGCGGAAATAAGCAATCGATTTCTAGAAACAGGAAACTTTATAAATGATGCTAAAAGCAACGTCTACACTAGTTGTTCTAAGAACGACTTTCGTCAGAAAAAAACTGACCTGCAAGTAGTAGTTGATGTAAACTACTAGTAGTGATTGCCCCACTGAATGCACTGAACGATAACCAACTTCAAACATTCTGACACCTCTTCGTTTTTAACAATTGTTGATAAGTAAACTTCTACTGTCTCTTTCTATTTTTGCAAAACACACCACCATTCAAGCTACGTACAATACAGGCAGAAAATTGCAGTTAAATGGTCAACATGTTAAACATAGTGATCGTTGTTTTTGCCTTGTAGCTTTCCTTTTACAGTTGTACGCACCAACCTCTCTAGAAACGAGGCACAGCGTTGACGTTTTGCCGACATCGAAGGCTAGAGCCAGTTCGTCACATAAGAAGCCCTCAACTACCGTATGTTCTTTTTAACCCACCATTTCTGAAAAGTATAAGAAATCTTTCCCTTTTCATTACAAAAAGACTGTTCGATTTTTGATTCAGCAAAACACTCAACGAAGGCAAGGACTGGTATGTTCAAATTGTGGTGGAACTAACACGACATTGTGGAGAAGAAATGCTGAAGGGGAGCCTGTGTGCAAGTAAGCCGTTCGTTCCAGGCGAACTGTAGTCTCTGGAACAAACCCCAAAAATTTCTTCTTTCGTCCCTCTTCTACTAATCTGGTGCTTAACGGGCTTCACACCTTTCCGGAATACACGTAGTGCATCGCACTTTTCGTCCGAGATCTTCGGTTAGGTTGTAGAGTTCCAGCACGGCAGACAGAGTGCTTAACTTGCCACTTAACACTTGAATGGCCCGTCCTCACTGGTTGTGCAGGCGTTAGCATAATCTCCATTTTTCAGAGATTTGCTGGTCAAGCATTGTTGTTTTCCGAAATCCCGAGGACAGCCTGGCCAAATTCTGCCTCCCATGCCTTTACCACCACAGGCAATCGCAGCCCTTGTGGAACAGAGGGAGATTTGCCACCATGAGACTTTGATACCAAGACGGTGGTGAATCCTGGTATTGGTTTACTCTTAGCTAGGCTTCCTGATGGAAACGCAGGACTAAGACCCTTGGGAGACCCTGCCAGGGGATAAATCCCCCGCTGCACATCGCAGTCCGACACCCAGGAACACCTCCCAGCCACGATGAGGCGGTAAACCGTTGAGAGGAGTTCACACTCATACTCAATTCAGAGTGCTTAACTACTAGATAAAAACTCAACATCGAAAGAGTTGACGTCACAGTCACTTAGCCGCATACTCATTCGAATCCGCTTCAACATGGGTTCTGCATACATCCAGGTAGGCCGATGGACGTCACTGTACACGGCATATTTAAGTCGGTCGGGTGCTGAAAACTCTTCCTGTGCTGAAAACATCACAGCACAGCTAACTGCTCGTCATTGGGTCCCTCTTGACCGCTTTCGACATCACCAAAATTCTGCTAATCGGCTGAAAGCTATTTTCTTCAATTTAAATGAAATTCGCTACATTTCAGCGCATGTGGATTGTACTACAAGCTTCACAATGTCCAACGACCTCCGACGATGAAGAAAGAAGGTCAACTTCAAACGAGGTTTGTTATCTGTAATATTTACAGTAAAAATTTTTTTGCCATATGGAAAGTATACAATTCATGAGTACCTTATCAAATAGCCAGGATTGTTAAAACATTCATTCTAAGAAGTCGTCCTCACTTTTCTACCCAAAATTTACGAACGCCGTTTATTTAAAATAAAATCAATCAGTGGGGCTGAGTCGCTTCGTTCTGTGGCATTCCACAATCCATACTTCAAATATGGTAGATGTATGACCTCTTTAGGGCAATGTTTCCGGAACTGTTGTCCAAAACTGATTAAAATGCTCCTGCAAGCTGCCAAAGAAGTGAAATGCCATTTAGCACCATTTAGAGTGACCTGTGGCGATTTGATTGATGGGTAATACAGTGTTAGTGTGTCAGATTTGATGGCTGTTGTGAAAGCTCTCAACGAGAACATGGGAGGCAACATTCTGCGTTTTGTGGACTCGCTGAAGACGAGCGTGGCGCGGTATTATCCTCATGAATCACAACTTCTTTCCTGTTCCCTGATTTTCGTTACCTTTACTTAATCGCTGGTAGTAATTTAATGTCTTGGGATGCAATTTGATTTATTTGGTTGGTGTCGTCATGCATATTGCAGTTTTCTCGCTTTCTGTCTTCTGTTTTAAAAACACATCAAATTTGTAAACTTTAAGCTGAAAATCGTGCATAGCGTTACCCCCTCCCCCCTCCCACCCAAATGATTTTTGGACAACTTGCACAGTACCTCTACACTAAACTTACCATCCGTATCAAATTCGCATTTCCACAACGACTGGTTAACGTCAAATATTTCTACGACCTCTTGATGAGTTCTACGTTGTTCTCTTCCAGTCAGAGTAATTAATTATTAATCGTCTGTTATGGACGACCACAGAGCACACTAAGCAATGCCGAAATCAAGGTTTCTTCCACGAGAACATCTTAGCCACTTACGATACGTGAAAGCGTTAATCGTTTTTCTTCTTTGTGAAGTGGTAAATCCTTCTTTCTTCGGAATGAATCCAAGTCCTTGCTGATACAGAGGAACATCACATTTCGAAATTTCTCCACATTTTTTTCCATGGCAAAAATTTCGCAGAATGCATGAAATCATGCGATTCTTTTACTTGGATTTTAAGAGCACACGTCAAACAATGTATAGATATGGTTCCCTTGGCATTCATAACTGATCGATTGCGAGATATGGCCCGAACGGTTTAAAAGGACGAAATTGTATACAAAACTCACGTAAACAAAGTGGAGCGTTCCAGCACATTACCCATTTAACTCCAATCCCTAAACTATGCTTTTGACGAAAAAAAATTTGCCAGACTTTAAAGGACCAAGGCAGCTCCATTTCTCGCAACCACCTTAATCTAAATCTCTAGCCCAAGGAAGGCTTTCCTACTTATGAAATGATTCATTCCAGGTGCGCTGAAATTCCTGTCACTTTTAGGTTGGATTCTGGCCGTTAGTGTCAACCTCTTTTTTAGGTTCTTTGACTTCAACAGAAAAACGAAAAGTTTCAAAATCTTCTGGACTAAAACTTTATTCCAGAAAAAGGAAGGCAAAATCGGACAGCGTTACTGGGAGTAAAAAACGAGATCGCTCCAGTAACTATACACAGTCTACTCAAGCGATCTCTGAACGAGGTTAGATGGGACCTTTCTTTATAATGTCGGTGACATGAAGTACAGTTCATTAAAAATAATCATACTCTGCTCCAGGTACAACTTCATATCAATCAACGTTTGGTTCCATTGGCTTCTCTAATCAAATGGATACCACATATTCTCAAATGAACGGTTATTCATCATCATGGCAAACAACTGGAGAAATCGGAACGTCAGGTTGGTTGTTGACATAAACAGACTCAGAATTTGAAGACTGTTAAAGGATAGGAATAAAACTCTCGGAGTTGTTCGATCGCTGTGGGATGTGTCATGCATTCGACTTCATCGAGCATCGCTAGAGGTGACCGGATGCATATCTGGCCTATAAAATGACCCAAGGTGGTCTACTGATGTTATCAGATCAATGCTGCCGTTCTCCGAGATATGTCTGATAGCAATTGTCTGTTCTCGAAAGGTTTGAAGGTTTGGTGAGCCTGGGGCGCTGGATCGAACCTATGGGTTTTGCACGGGGCCTCTATCCATTGTGCTACACCCCCCAATTTTTAGCATACAATATCGCTTAATGCTCCCGCCACAAGTGACTGCTATAAGTGTCACAATGGCTCTACGGGAGTGGCCGGTATAGCACGTACTAGCACGTATAGGTAATATTTCTTTCCGGTGACATATTTTAACGCATAGAAGTTTTCCTAGATTTTTTATGATCAGTTAATAGCTTATAGAACACAAACGGTGTGTGTGTGTGCTGGGCGGTCGTAGGGAAAGCTCTGTTCTGGACTGAAAAGTAGACAGGGAACCGTTTTCTGAACGAGTTCACTAACCAGAAATTTGGGTGCTAATCGTTTTTTATTTCAATTCTAGTTTCTATAGTAAATTATAGTTATGGTATAGACGTGTGGGTATAAAGAAAGAACACAGAAATAGAGGCCTATAATTTGCCAAACACTAACAAATGCTGGCAACAACGCGATGGACCACAGCAACATATAGAAAGAAATATTTCTGCAAATCATTCATGTTCTCAATCTACGAAGTTTCCTAGATGTCGAAAAATTATTGTTTTTATTTAAAAAACCAGCATGCCCACAATGCTGAAAATTAGCCGCCGTCCAGTCCGCAACAAAACTGAAATTAGGCGTGGTCGCGAGAGGTTTAAAAGTTTTAATCCATGATTAAACATTAAATCACAAATACAATTGTATTAGAAATTCCAGATGTTTTTGCTGTTCTTTCGTTGTTCAAAACTTTTTTGAGAGCTTTAGCAGAGAATTTGGCACTCTTCTTTGATTTGAACATCTGTTTATATTGTTGAGCTTACACGAGGTTGATCAAGACGTCTATTCGGCCAATATTTCGATGATTTCGCCTTCATTAGAGCCGATGATCCGACTCGATATTCCACAGTTGTTCGTCCTCTCGAAGCGTCGCGTTATCGCAACTTTAACACATTCGTGACTGACGACGTCTAGTTTCCGGCTTCCATGGAGCTAGTGGTTCTTGGGCAACAAATGATAACATTTCGAGAACCAGAAGACACGATTGGTGGAGAACTGGATAAAACTATGGCAGAGATTTGCCGTATCGCTCGATAAGTGTGAATGGTATAAGCGCTATTGTTTACCATAAATTGCTATGATCCATCATGTAAGCACATTGCTGTCAGAATATGACAGCGTTTTGCAAATTTGCCCTGTCCGTTGCAGTGTTTTTTATACAGCAGTTAAATTACCGGCCACTGAACTTCTTAAAGAAAAGTTTTTTCTCTACCAAGTGCGAAAAAAAGCTTTCCCTTGCTAACGCCCTTCACGACATCTTAGTTGTACAAAGTATTGGACAAGAAATTTGTGGAGAGTGTTCTTTACTCCAAAATTAACGTTAAAAAATAAAACGACTTCTCCAAAGGTCACACCGGCTATAATGTCCATAACAAATAAGCCCTATAGAAGTCACGTCATTGCGAAAGTGTCGATAAAATCAGAAACGTAATGTGGGTTCCATCACAATGGGATTAATACTTCTAATTTTCCACTATATTTCCACTCATAGTTACTTATCTACTCGAATATATGGTTATCTTTTCTTTACGAATACTGTGAGAACTTCAACAATTACCAGTTCATTGGAGTCTTGGTGCTTGCAATGAAAATTTCGAAATACTCAGATTGAGTACTCCTATGAAAAGAAAGACCCACTACTAAACGTCATGCAAGACGTGTCGAGGTGGTGAACTACTACAGAACTTCTTGAAAACCAATTTTCCCAGGAAAACTGAGCATTTTAGGCAAGGAATATAATACATACCGAATACTAGAATTCAATGTCGAAATAATCCTAAACTTAAAAAATCAAGCGGGATGCAAGTATTAAACTAATACAAACACTGTTATTCTTCTGGTACAATCACTTTCAGGCGCAGATCCGAGTCATTCGTCCGCTTTTCACTCAACTTACCCCTCACCCTATCCGCCTCCAATCTCAAAAATCTCCGAGGTTTACCAAGCTGCAATTTTTGAACGTCAAAGGCAATGTTGATTATTTTCACGCACTTTTTCGCAGGCTCGACAGATGGGCGAGGACGAAACACGTAGTGCAACGCAAGGCTTAGTAGAAGAAATTCGTGACAGATCCCCCACTGCATAACTGCTTTATAGGTAAGTCATTCTAACTCCTCAACAACAATATTACCTTGGAAGTACTTGTGATTTTAGTATCCTATGAAATCTATCCACGAAACTCCTGCGAACTCCGGCAAGTTCACACGAGGTTCTGGCCATCAATAACTTGATAGAATCGATTGTATTCAAAGGCCGCTTGAAATGTGTCATGAAAATAAATTATTTTTTTGTTCGATTCGTTGCACAAAATAACAGTAACCACACGCTTTGAAGTTGCAGTGTGCATAAATTTATTGATCTTCTCCCAGCACCTGAATTCAAATGTTGATATCCAGCAATGCAATTCATATACATTTTTTAGATAACATTTGAGGAAATATCGATCGAACAGTAAATTCCATACTAAGTTGTGCAGTTATAACCTTCGATCTCGGGAGCATTCTAAATTTTCTCGAGCAGTGCTCCACGCAACCGATTAATTGATTTCGATAATCTTATAAACTAAAGTAACTGGCGCATGATGAGTTCACACCTAAATTTAAAGAAAGTGCTCCTAAATTTTATAATTTCAACGCTAACATAAATGATTAGGATTCAAAATCGCCAATCCCATGTATGACGTCGTCGACAGCGGTTTTTTCGTTGAGCTCACAAGTATGTGCCCATCCACGATCGAGCTCATCATTCAACAAAACGACAAGGTGTTGGTAAGCCATATGATAGGTGAAGGAGCACATAACAAAAACACTAATATCACCAGTGACCTATCCTTCTGGCAAAATCTGGGTATGTCTGATTAACAGACATATCTCCATCATTCTATTTTGTCCATACCTTTCTCTAACAACTAAACCAGTTTCGAGCGAAAAGAATTTAACTTGTACAGTAATGTTCGAAATGCCATACGAAGAATAGTACCTCTATCGCTTACAATACTTGAAGTCGTACACGCACTTAAATTCTTACTAGAGCGGTCTCACGCATACCTATCGAACGCTTCAGCTGTGCAGTAAAATATTAACGCTTGAAGGGCACGTAGGACATCATACTTTTTCTGCGAAGCGATTTAACCACTATTTTTTAAAGAAGGAAAGGCACAGGTGGTTGCCCAGTTTCCCCATAGGTGACCATGTGAAAAAGATTAATATCATCGATGTGCATAGCAGTGAAAGAAGCACCAATTAGACTTTTCAACTACTATAAGACCGTAAACCGTTAAAGGGATAATGAGAGCACAAACTTTTATTCCGCTGTCTGGTTTCGTCTTTTAAAAAAACACTGATTCTTATGAGCTCGTAAGGTTCGCCGCCTGGAGATGTCTATGTCGACGGCAAGTTAGTGACCACCATCTGTGAAAATTTAGACACTCTGAACAAATTTAAATTAGAAAAAACCTGATGAGAATTAAATGAGCATGTGCAAAGCGCTTGCTGAAATTGATATACTAGTTAAGTGATTGATTCCGTTCGAACCAAGAAAACCGAAAATACACCCAGAAGAACTATGTCGCAAATAAAGAATATTACCACAACGAAAGATTACTTAACATTACCTTAATTTTTCCTTAATGTCTGATTTCGCAGAATTAGTACATGAAGCTGAGAAAAAGATAAGATCGAAAACCCTTTAACAATTTTTTCAGCCAGACCGTTAATATGATCCAGCTTCATGCTTCTCACTCGTTGGAAATTCGTCCTGAATGAAAACAACTTTCCGATTACTTCTAAAAAAAAGTATCAGCTAACACGAATAACCTCCTATCTGATTCTTTTAACCGCAAAGAACCTTTAACACAATTATTTTAGTCAGCAGAAGAGTAGTGATAAAATAGTGAGAGGTCACAAACACACCACGTTGAAATCACACCAATCCGTCTGATCTCTCCGGAGTCGAGAAATTGGTACAAGACTTGTTTAGGAACAACTCACTCTTTCGATTTCACGTAGAAACGACTAGCGCGGCCGCCTCAGCTCTCCAAGAATTGATTCCACCAGTATTCGACGACGTTCATAAGAAATGCAACGACCTTCAAGCAGAATCCGAAGCTAAACCCTAGAAACTTGAAGACCTTCGTAGATTATGGACGCCAGGATACGAATCCGTTGCAACAATCTCAGGGATCTACAAAGCAGGTATGGTGGAGTCGTGTAAAAAGAAGCAAGAAAAGTTAAAAAGGTTCCGGTCAACAACGACAACATGCTAGTATTTTTTAAATTTTTCTAGTTATGACAGAATTTTAATACAATGGTGACTACAAATCCCACGACCGACTTTCTATTAACCTCGGCATTGATCAAGTAGTTCCCGATATTCTTACTGAGCAAACACGTGCTGTTACTCTATTCTTTATTCCTTTAAAACTGACGTTTCGGCGGATTTCGCCCTCTTCAGAGCTTGGAAGGGTATATTTTGATATGCAGTTTACTAAGTTGAACTTTCCAATAACACATACAAAAAGATGAAAATCTAAATCGTAATCAGACGATGGAAAGACAGGCTTCTGGAAAAACCCACCGTTTATTACGTGCCTTGCACCGAGAAAGAACAGCTGCCCAGAGTGGCATATGGTCGATTAATGCACCAACCTCCATCAAAAGTCGATGCGAAGGTAAAGGGGCCAGACCACGTGTGATCTCTAGCCATTCCTCCCTGCTCTTCATTCTAGGGTTCTTGATGTTTATCCAAAAAGCCTCTGGAAGTGTGCGCGTTGGTGTTTCGGCATCCCATGCGAGGATAGTGACCTTTATATCAAGATCGTTTCTGCTATGTTTTTCTATACTGTGCGTCTCCAGTGGTGCACTTAGTCTTGCTTTTCGTTTGCCAACTAGGTGTCCTCTTATGCGGGTGCATAAACGTCTTCTCGTTTCGCCAATATATTCATCTCCGCAAGTATTGCAAGAGGTCAGGTATAACGTACCTGAATTCATTCAGTCAGCGTCCCTGCCGTAAGTGCAAATTACGCAACTTTGTGTTTCGCATAGAGGTCATATAGGCTGTTATGAACTAACTGACGACGAGTAATATCGGGTGGTATTTTAACTAACCCTACCGGCTTCTCTTGACCTGCCTTTCTTAAGCATCGTTTTAAAACTACGCTTACTTCATCGCTTGTAAAAGGCAACATAAACGGGACTTTCTTTGGCCAAATGTTTCGTTTCGGCGCGTCGCTCTCCTTCTAAACTTATCTGGTGGGGTTATTTACGATCGCGATCTCGATTACGATTCATACGATTTAACGATTCATAGCTTTTCAGAGGTTGAAGCGGCTCTTGATGAACATGTGAATCTGATTTTCATAGTACGTCCACAAATTTTGTTGGCTCATCAACGAAAATACTTGAAAGAAAGTGCAAGCTATTTAAGTAAGATTTCACACCCGATGTAAATGAGAAAAAGGTAAATAGGAACTATTATTTTGGCCAGTGGGGCAATTCCTTCTCGGCAGTCTCTCGCAATCCACGTGGGAACACCTTAGCAAAGCTACCTCCAAGATTGCAAGGAGAACCTACACTACAAGTATTCTATGACATTCATAAGAAGCCGAAATCCTCAAGCAACAGCAGAATCAACACGCGAAATGTTCGAAGGACTTCATTGAAGGTAGATGCGACGGAAAATGCAAGAAATGTTGGGATCCGAATAGTAAAATGTGAATACGGGTCATGTGCAATGAGGAATGAATGTCGATCGATAATGATATTTACAATATATTTTGTTCGCAGGATCGACTTTTTATTAACCTCGGCATTGGAATATGAATGCGTCGTATTCTTGTTCAGCAATCGCGAGGTTGTTAAACAGCATACATTTACTTCCGTAGAAGAACACAATACAATAACACAGTAGCTGACGCTTGGACAGTATCGCCTTCTTCAGAGCCTGGAAGAGTATGCTAATATACAATTTATTAGGCCAAACGCTTCAATAACATTTATAAAAAGACGAAAAACTCTATGACAATTACATGATTAACAGCTTTTCGAAAAACACCGTTTTCTACGTGAATTCCCATGAGAAAGATTAGAACAGCTGATTATAGTCGCATACGGTCGATGACTGCAACACTCCATATCAGAAATTGATGCCAACATACGAGACCAGGTCGTGTGTGACCTCTGGGCATTCCTCTCTGCCATTCATTGCAGGGTTTTTGGCATTTATCCAAAAAGCCTCATAAAGTTTTCGCGCTGGTGTTTTAGTCCTGTGCAAGGGATATTGACTTTTACTTCAAAATCGTCTCCGCTATGCTTTTGTATCCTATGCGTGCCTAGTGGGGTGCATCGTCTTAGTTTTCGTTTGCCATCTTGGTGTTTTTTTATGCGGATATATAAAGGTCTGCCCGTTTTACCAATATATTCATCTTCGCAATTATTACAAGAGTTCAGGTATATCGTACCTGCGCTCATGCAGCCACCGTCGCAGCCGTGAGGACAAAATTACGCAACTTTGTGTCTTGCATAGACAGTCATAAGAGCGGTTATGAACTAACTGACGACCAAGAGTATCGGGTGGTATTTCAACTATCGCCACCGATTCCTCCAGATTCCTCTTGACCTGCCCTTCTTAAGAATCGTTTTATAGCTATACTTACTTCATCACTAATGGACGGCAACATAAACGGGATTTTGTCTTCGCCACGCTCTTCGTTTTGACGTCGCTCTTCTTCTAAACTTATCTCGCGCGAAAACTATTTCGTAGCCATTGGAGATGACTATTTGCGGCGGCAAGTTGCGCGATTCCTCTTTTGGTTCCTTGGACGTGCACACAGAGGTGGCTGTTCCAAACAGGTTTCTTACAAGCGCCCTTTTTGTATGTGAAGGGTGAGAAGAGAGGAGGATCGAGGATGTTTTTGTTACTTAGTTTTCGGTACCATTTTGCCATGTAACCGCTGTCCGATAAGTTGATTTGAACGTTAAG